GAAAATTTTCATTTTGGAGTGAGTTATACTTGAGCTGTGTCCACAAATATCTGCATGGAGACAATTCCACGGTATTTTGTTTGATTCCTTGACTTTATGATCACTTTCAGATTGTGTTATCTTCATGTGTTAAAATCTGCTATAATGAGGCTTCATTCGATTAGCTGTTACCAACAACCGCTTATTGATTGATCTTTTACAGGTTCAGTGAACAAGAACATTGTTTACTAAAACCTCACCTCAAAAAAAGATTAAAAAAAACCTTTAAGACTTTGAGTTTTCTTCATTTTTAACATAAAAACAAAAGCACTAACCAGGTAAGTGGACAAACAGTAATACATAACCCAGAATATGGGTCTTCATAGATCTCTGTGTGTGTGTGAGTGGAGGAAAATGATCATACAGCAGTAAAGCTGGTTCTGTTCTTAAGAAAAAATACTGGCCACTGTGCAACAATGAACCACCTTCAGCACAACCTGCTCAGATTAAAAAGAGTCTTGCTCAGCTCAAAGTTTGCAGAAAAAAAACTAACTCCATTCATAGATGTGCTCTTTTGCACACAATGATGCACACCTCTACTCTGCTATAAATGCTGCCGAGGTCTCATCACTGTAACTTCCTCTTTCAGACAGAAGGAGGAAGAAGGATGGTTGCTTCACATGCCTCATTATCTCTGCCAGTAGAAGGTATGTTGAGTCAGCCACAAACTGAGCAAACTTTCACTGAGAACTCCGTCTGTGTGTTAAAGAACGGGTTGTTCCTTTAGCACACAGGAGGAACAGTTATTGAGGTTTTTAAACCCTCAATCAAAGGTCAACTGTTGGAGATAATGTCCCATGGCTTAATATTTTATTCTGTTTAAACAAAAGATGTCATATCTGTACCTAGCTCAAGGACAGCTACAAGGTAATATATTCTAAGTTAAAATAAAACAAATGCTTTTGAGTGTAACATTAAAAGTTATCAACATTCACCCCCTGAAAACTTCTAGCCCTTTAATACATTTTATTTTCTTTAAATAAGATTTGACACTAAAATATTTCATGGTATCCAGATCAATTAGTTGGTTTTAGACGTCACAGGTGTTACTGGCAGCTTTACCTAAGTGTCACTGTGTAAACTAGTGCTAATGTACCGTAAATGATTACTTAAGTATTCAATGATTTATTCTGACAGTTATTAAAGCAATTTAATAAAAATACATTTCACAAAATGTAGATATTTAATTTTAACATTTATATTTGATTTAACAGCTAATTATATAAGAAAAAGAAAAACAATACAACTCCTTGTTTAAAATTAAAATCAACAATTTAATGCAGCAATATAGCACAGAGGAATTAAAAAATCGTTACTAATTTGACTGAAATTTATTTGACTCGGACCATATATTCCCAGTTCCAACGTGCCATGCCACACTACCTACCACATTGGTGCAAAGACAACTTTAAACAAATCAGTCAATTTTATATCATGCATTGGCAGTCCCTGCTTTAAAGCTGAACACCCCACTCCATCATCTTCTTCACTTCCCACATTCATAACGTAACCTTGTTAACTTTCTTTTATCTCTGCAGCATCAAGCAAATACTTCTCTTATACTTTTACCAAACTGGTTTACAGTAAATTCACCACTTGATGCGACATTTTCAACTCCCTTCCCTCCATAATCTGCAACTAGTACAAAGAGAGTTGTTCAAATCATTTCATCATCATCTTCCCATTTCACCCCAGTGCTACATTAACTCTACTGGAATGTTTAATACTGAATGTGATATCTAACTTCCTTTCACATTTAGTCTAAATCAATTATATGATCAAACGATGCATACCTCAAACTGTCCAGGTGGAGCTGCATGGTTGCGCAGTTTGTAGCACTGTTGCCTTGCAAAAAGAAGGTCCTGGGTTTGATTCCCAGTCTTTCTACATGGAGTCCAAGTTCTTTCCAGGACCCTGACTTCCTCTGACAATCCCAAAACATATCTTTCATAATTGCAGTCTCTAAATTATGTGAGTCTATGGGCACCCGTTGCCCATAGACTACCTGAGATATGCACCAGCTCCACCGTTACCCTTATGGATATGCATCAGAACAAGATGGACAGATTGATCTATCCAAGTGAATGCAAGTTCACTTCCTTACTTGAGCTGGCAACACACCTACTAAAGGAATGCCATCTATCTGGGCACCTGGGCAGTAACTTAGCAGTTGGCATTAGTTTTTAGCGTTATTCATTTTTTTTCTTCTCCATAATAAACTATGTTATTTATCCTATTATAATCTTATGTAGTTCTATGTTTTATCTATAGTGTTGGTACATTTAGATATATTTCCATATATATCTACAGGTGCCTTGATTATTGTAGCTGTTAAACCAGCTGAGGAAATGTGCTTTAGATAACATGCGGCAGCTCTGTATTATTCCTCCACTTTTTTCCATATACCTGTCTTAACTGATTATTAGAAAGCATTTTATGCACATGCAGATGCCTAGCAGGTAAAGCATTTTGCAACACCACCCAAGAATTTTCTAATTTTAATTAATTTCTCTCATCCACACCATCTGTATTTATTCTTAACTGTTACAGGTCAATATATTACCACTGTTAAAGAGAAGGGAAATCCATGCTAAATAAGCCTGAGCTAGCATGTTATTATTCTTTGACTAATAACAAGGAGATCTCTGGTTGGCCACAGGCATTTAACATGCTAGAGGGAAGGGAGTAAACCATGGCATGTGATCAAATGGTATGGCCACACCAAGAGATAAGCAACAATAGACATGCTAACCAAGGGAGGCTTTCTCGTGTGTAATCAATCCTCTGCACATTTTTACTCGCTAGCTTTTATATATTCAAAGAAAACTTTTGAGCACCACTCTCATACATCCCATCTGTGATCATTGTTTGATGTTCTTCCAAAGGTCAAAATGATATAACACTGAAAAACCTCAGACTGAAAGGTCTGCCCTAATCTAATGACACAGGTTTGCCAGGTTCTACTGGTTTAGAACAGAATCAGTTTACTCATACTCGTCATCTTTTACATATCAGAAACTGGGTTGGGAAGCGGGTCAGGAATTATAGGCATCTCAGCAGAGAAAAAAAAAAGAAATCAAGTCGATGTATTGTTTCTATCATTTTCCAATTGATGCAAATCCCTTCAAGCAGCAGAAAATTTTAACCTGTGATTATGTATTTTGTTCAATTTTGAACATTTCTAGAACAGGATGCACCTACAAACCAATAAATAAATAAGTAAAATATAATCTAGAATGAAAATGTCAAAAGCTCGATCCTTCCTGGTCTTCATTGGGACATTTCCAGCTGTCTCTGTTAATTTGCATAAATTAAAAACTGCAAACAAATCAGACTGTAAGATTGACAAGATCTTTGCAGGTTTTATGAGAGAAGTTGCTCTTTAAAAATATTTTAATTTGCTTTGTTGATCCCATAGATTCATAATGCTGCTTTTTTCATAGTTCTACTAAAGTTGATTTAAAGTGAGAATTAAAAATACATGCGTGACGTAGTCTTGAATGTAAAGGTATAGGCTGGAGGGCGCATTCGCCCTTGTAACATATGTTTCAGATGGGATTTATATGGGATTTTATCTAGAGTGGAACCATTTTAGAAATAAATAACATTGTAGCAATATCAAATCCTTTAACATTCTTCGATTTACCAGAAATATTCCTTAGTTTTCTTTTTTTTTTTTGCTAGCATAGCTTTGCAATGCTGCTCAGAAAGAACATTGAAGCAGGTCTTTACAGTTCCGGATTTGCGCCTGATTATGCGGTGGGGATTGGGACTTTATATGCCCTTTATCATGCAAAATTCTGTTTTACGAATGTTTGAGATTCGAAGAAAAAGAGTAAACAGATTCATCCTAATAATGTGGATAATAACAAGTCCTTTACTTATTGACTAACGGAGGGTTATTTAGGACACTTTAAAATGAGCGGGCTGAAATAATTAATCTGCAGATGTTACATGTAATCAAATGCCTTAAAAATAACCCCCATTAGCTGTATTTTATAATATAGACAACCGGAATTTGCCTTTTTGTACAGGGCTAAATAAAAATTGTGCACAATATTTAGACAGTAGTATATATACAGTATACAGAAATAATGATGTGAATCTGAGAAATAAAGATTTTGCAGACATGATGAGTTGGTTGCTGTAGTACATTTTATAGAAGTTCTCTCTACTTGGGGATCAATATTTATCTTGTCCAACTATCTCCCACCTATCTCTACAGTTCTTTAATTGTAATAAACTAGAATTACTTTTCAAAACTAGAAAACATGCTTTGCATAAAAGTCTTCACAAAGTAAGCAAAACAGCAATGACATATGTGGCTCTTTTGAAGCTAAACCCAATTAATTTTTTAAAAGCTTGTGGTGCAGAATGAATACCCAGACCGTGAGGTTAGCCACAGTTTCTTTTTAAGCCACTTGCAGCATTGTGCAGACATCGTTAAGCATGCAAAGTCTTGGGTTGCCAACTAGATCAGGGATCTTGGCACAATGAAGTGGATATAAAGCTCCCTAAATCAATATGATCAATAAGAACTCAATGGCTTTGCTTCTTGGCAGGTAAGTAAAACTGGACGTGTAATTTGAATCAGCTTCATCTGACCTTTACTTCAATTTTTGTTTCTACTTTCAAATAAATACTATATATATATATATATATATATATATATATATATATATATATATATATATATATATATATATATATATATATATACACACACCCAGAGAAGTGAGGGTTATTGTGTCAGTTAACATTTTAAGGGGCTAGAGTGATGAAGAGGAGGTAAATGATGTTGAGTCAAAGGTGGGTTAAATGGAGAGGCTGATTGATGGGTTCATGGATCCCAGTCAAGGCATCTGAGGAAAGGTGGACGTAATGGAGTGGAGAGGAAGGAGGGGACGGCTAAATGAATAATGAGGATGTGGAAAACTGATGGGACGTGCAGCGCTGCGTACCTCAATCCACCTCATGCTGCGGCTGCTGACAGGGCTGCAGACGGCTGATGGGTGGACTGAACCCCGCTGCCTTCACCCTCCATCACCGCCTCTTTAGTCGTCCTCTGCCTCCCTTTTGTCTATTTGCACAGACACCTCGGATGCGTTGGATGTGTCAGCGACCCTCCTGCTCCCCATGCCCGCAGCAGCTCAAGTAACCTGCGGGGTTTGGTTCTCCTCCTGGAGCGACTCCCTTTTTACCCCCTCTTCTCTTTCGTTATATAACTATTTTTCAAACAATAAATTCCTGCTCAACAATGCAGTTTCCAGTTTGTTTCCTAGATCTCATCCAAGTTTATCCTTCTCCAGAGAAACGTCCATTTCGTATAGAAAAGCGCATCTCCGCACTTCCACCTGGAGCCGACCCGCTGGAGGAAGAAGGAGCGCAGCGGCGATGGAGCTGCAAGTAAGCGGCTGCTCCTCCACGGTGCCTAGCCTGGCTGCTGGGCAGTGCAGGCGCAATGAAACGCGATGGAGGAAAACAGAATTACAAAAATATGAGCTCCCACCTTAGTCCGGTAAACAGCGAAGCATAAACCCCCAGACTCCTAGAAGGAGAACAAAAGCAATAACTCATCTACCTTCCCCTCCTGGCTTTGCCTCCTCTTCTTTTTATTTTCTACTCTCCTGAAGGCTTCCTCTGATATCGTTTGGACTCCGGTCAAATTTCTCAGCTGGTCCAGACAGCTGTTAGTCCGTGAAGGCTGTCTGTCAGCTACCGCTACACTGACGGACCTGGAGCGCGTCACTGCGCTCTTAGTAGAGGAGCTCACGTGACCCAGTTATTCTGTTATGATGCGTTTAAGGGGTGTAAGTACGGAAGAGGATTAGGGCCACTGGGAAAAAAAAGTTAACAGATTTTTAAATATTATTTCAGTTAATTATGGGGAAAAGTCTGAATTCTGACTTTGATCTCAGAATTCTGACTTCTTTTTCGGAATTCTGACTTTAATCTCAGAATTTTGACTTTATTTCTCAGAATCCTGACTTTTTTCATTGAATTCTTATTTTTTTTCCTCAGAACTCCGACTTTAATCTCAGAATTCTGACTTTTTTTCTCAGAGTTCTGACTTTTTTCATAGAATTCTGACTTTTTTACTCAGAATTCTGACTTTCATTTTAGAATTCTGTCTTTAATCTCAGAATTTTGGATCTTAATGTAGATGGGCAGCATGGAGGAAGAGATGTGGGAGCACTTAGCTTCACTAAAAGATGTGAGTCTTTTTTGGGGGCCAATAACACATTGGTGGAAAATGATGGAATTAGGCGAATTTTTACGTGCCCGAGGGTTCCTCCGTGATGCTATTTCATTAATAGAAGGGCAGAAGGTGATTAAAACAAGACAGCTAGTTTAGTCTCTAAAACAGACATGGCTTAGTGCTAACAAAAAGTCAGAATTCTGTAAAAAAAAAAAGTCTGAATTCTGAGATTAAAGTCAGAATTCTGACTTTTTATTCATATTATAATGAAAATTTTAAAATCAGTTAACTTTTTTTATTTTTTCAGTGGCCCTAATCCTTTTGACAAAAATACATTAAGTTTTTAAAAATACGGTGCTTACACAAAGAGCTAAATAAAAAAGGAAATAGTCTAACCTTAAGTCAAGAATGTAGGAGAGTCAGAAGAATAATGGCTTTTCATTTGAACTGTGGTTTTTAAACTCTTTCTTACTGGCTTCAAACACGCTTAATGTTCTGCAGTTTAAATTAAGTATTAAATAGGTGCAATGTATTTACGCTCCAAGTTTTCACAGAGAGAATTCTCAGTGCTTCCCAACAGAATAACACCACAGAAGGAGTCACAGTATACAAGGCAGAACATAAACACAGTACATTAATATATGCATATCATCCTATCATAAAAGCTGAAGTCTAACCGAATGGTTGTTGACAAAAGATGTATTTAGCTGCTTTCAAAGGTCAACAACATTCTCCAGACAGTTTAGTACACACGAAATAACAGTTCCTGCAGATTTATCAGCTTGACATACAAAATGTGAGTCTTTTGTTCCACTATTATTGCTGTAGTATAGATATATATATATATATATATA